GCGTGTTCGCGCACGAACCACTCGAAACGAGTCTCCACCGCGAGCGCGAGAAGATCATCACGCAGGACATACCCGTGCGGGTCCTGCACCCCGACACCGTCGAGACCATCATGCAGCCCAAGGTGCGCGAGCCCGACGTCCACATCCAGCTGCCCCCACTCCTCCAGCTCAAGGCCATCTCGGACCGCTTCACGAAGCTCGCCCTCGCGTCTCGCGCCTCTACTTCTTTCTCCGCCGCGTCCCCGAAACTAGAACTCAGTGCGAATATGCATGGCGCCCTAAGGCTGAGACTGGATACGGATACCCTCGACGTGGAAAGCCGGTGGACCGGCCTCGAGAACCCGGAGCTGGATCCGGCACAGCTGCCCTGCGCGCTTGAGGACCACCCCAGCACTAAGTTCCGTGAGGCCGGGCCTGATAAGTGGGCTACGGTGCGCGTCGACGGGAAGGACTGGAGTAAGGTGCTAAGCGTGGGGCGCCTTGAGGGGAGGGTAATTGCGTGTTTTGCGGATGATCACGCGCTGATTATGTATGTGTACGTCCCGCAGTATGATGATACGGGGGCGGAGGACTCGGTTGTTACGGTGAGCTTCCTTTATCGTTTAGAAGTGAGGTAGGGGCTTGGAGATGTGCTAATGAGTCGCAGTATTACGTGTCTTCGTACAGTTTGTGACGATATGGGGGCAGCTATAGGTACGTAATAGTTTAGGATCCTAGGAAAATACGTGAATTCCCGGGTCGAATTCACGAGGTTGGCGTTTAGGAACGATCTCCCAAACGACCGCTACTGGCTTTATGATCATGTTGGCTCTCAGGCTGCGAAGTTGCTGGATATACCACTGATGCTGATAGGGTAAGAGACCCGAGTCTGAAAAATAGACGATAACTTTGAAATAAATCAAATAAACAAGACTAGGCTCCGAGTAGCCAGCTTGCCTACGAGTATACTAAGCCCCCGAAGCAGCTTAATTCATGGTTTGAGCCCGTAGACGTAGGATACTTGAACTCGCCACAATCTAGCTTTTAGGCGCAAGTAGTTTAGGAAGATATGATTTTCTTATTCTAAGGTACATATGCTGTCTAAATCTAAGACTGCCCGTAGATATGTCCCTATTATCCTAGCCCTTCGAGCTATAACTTGAGAACAAGCCAGTTCTCCCCTTGCGTCTCTTTTATTATCCGTCCTAGCACTCCACGTACGGGTCCTTGCATCTCAGTGCCACCATGCCAGCGTTTTGGACCGGCGTACGCCTCGATGAAGCCGTCTGGCCCGGATACGCAGATGAGATTCGCGCCTACTTTTACCTCCGTGGGTGCATTTTTACCATCTTGAGCACAGGCGCAAGCCAAGGCATGGCGGCCGGCGTCGTTATCGTCTGGTAATTTCTCAAGAGCCGCTGCCGAGTGCCAGGGACAAGACTGGGCGGCAGGGAGTAGCGATGATTTGCGTGCTTCTCCCAGAGCGGCGCCTAGATCCCGCGGGCCAATAAAACTCCCCTCCTCGTCGACGAGGTAGGAGATCTGGAACCGTCCCGGATGCTTCTGCTCTAACTCGCGGATCTGCCGCGCGAGCGACGATTCCTCTGGCTGTGCTTGCTCCTCTTTTACACCCGATGGGGTTTCTTTACCCCATAAGCTTGGGAACCATGATCCCTTTGCAGCACCATGTGCTTGAGGCTGCTGGCGCCCTAGAGCATCAGCCGCGCGACGGTTAGCCCATAGGATCGATATCGTCGGCTTATTCCTCCGCATTTCCTTATGTCCACCATCTTCCAAAAGCCGTCGTGCAACCTGCAGTGCAGGTGCGATTCCCGTGCCGCCGGCGAGGAACACCACGTTCTCAGCAGCTCCTAATCGTCTATCGACGTCGAAGCCGAGATGTGGGCCCCTGAGCCACACCTGATCGCCCACGCGCAGCTTCGATAAATATGTCGACATCTCGCCGCCGTCCATCCTGCGGATTAGGAATCGCAGCTCCTCATTCTCATTCTCATTACTATTACCATCGCCATCGTCACCGGCTAATGGAGGCAAAGGCGTATAATGCCGCGCGATCTGCAACTGCGGCTGCTTGATCTCAACGGACCAGAGGCCATGGTCCCAAGCCTCTTTCAGCGGGGCCCACGACCGTTTAATATCGTTTGAAGCCTCGCCGGGGCAGATGCTCAAGATGAAGGCTGTGGGCGAGACTTGCTCCCTCGCGGTGATGGTGAAGGGGCTGAAGGACGTCTTGTTGATGACGGCGTTTTTTGGGTCGTCAGCGCTGGATGTTGCGCTTTTGAGGACGAGGGCCGTCATGATGACGGTGCTGAGGCCCGCGGCGTTGAAGAGAATCCATGGCTTCCAGTTCGTTCGTTTTTGGGAGTGGGAGTGGGAGTGGGGGGATGAGGATGACGGTTCCTGGGGTTGAGATTCTCCCGTGGGTATATTTTGGGCCTCGCTGCTCTGTCGCGCTGTACAAGAGGAGAATTGGCGCCGGGCAAAAGGAATAGGGGTGTAGGCAACTCGAGATAAGCTCTGGTGTTGCTGCTGGCTGCTCCGTGCAGCTAGTTGGTAAGACCTAGGACAGGCCGTTTGTGAGCTAGAGAGAAGGCACGGTCTCATCCGGCCGGCCCATTTTACTACCAGGTTATGATTCATTTATATCGACTCATATTGGAATTATTAGGGACATAGTTTGGCGTTAGGTTGCTCACTATTGGTATCGCAGGTATCAGTGGATGAATGATGGTTGAAAATTGCTGGGCTTGCCACCTGGCTGTCGGTCCGCAAATCCACACCGCCAGGTGGGTACCTAGGTCGATATACGCCCCCTAATTCTACGAATTCTTCACAATCACAGTATCATGGCGTATGAATATTGAAACTTTTCACTCTTTTCTATAATTGACTTTTTTCATTGGATAGACCTGTAAGTTGAGAGGTCAATTCTGAGTAGTTGTACAAGACAGCAAGTCTATCGAACCGGCGTGGTATCTTACCACTTCCAAATCCTGTGTCTATAATCTAATGATATCCCCTTTCTGGTTTATACCGCCTCTAAAATGGTCGGCAATGATATTGCCGTTCATAATAGTTTCCTTAATTACACCCTCCACGTGCTTCGGATCTACCCTACCGTACCAGATTCCATGACCCGCTAGGGGATGGGGGTTGCCCGCGCTGTTTTTGAGGGACGGCGGCAGGTAGATGATAACGTTACCGGCGTACTTGTGGCCGCCAATATGGCTGATCTGGCCTACTCTCGCAGTACGCGGCGGTTCCTCTCCTGATGTAGTACCGGAAAGCTCCGGCGCAGTGACGCTCTCGTCGACTGCCGGTCCATGAAGGACATCAAAGCCGGACCGAGGTAGCTGTCTCTCGAATTCCTCTTGAAGGATAGGCCCGTAGATGCCACATCTCTTATCTCGCTGTCCATGCCCGCAGATCAAGACAAGCACATCTTCAACGTCGCGCACACCGTATAGCAATTGCTGGTACGCCTCCTTCCGTTGTAGCCTGTCCTTATGTATTGGAGATAGGCCATCATTCATCGGGTGAAGCTTCTCCGGTAGAAGGTAGCCCTTGACTAGCGCTTGTACAGAGTCGAACGACACTCGTGGGAGGAAGGGTATGTATTTAAAGCTTGGAAGGAGATAGACGGATGTAGTCTGCACCTCCGGCCGTCTAGAAATCGCGGAAGGAAAAGAAGCGTTTATGATTGAGATGTTGTGGTAAGGCTACAAAATCACTCACCGTTAGCCAGATTGGACACATACATTAATGTCCGGGGAGCGCACACAGAATTGGGTCACCAATCCCTCTGGGACTAAGCAACAAGACTCACATCACTGAACATGCCTCCTCGACCGACTAACTCCTTGAGATCGGCAGCCAAGTTGTCGCCGCTGTTATCCTCTTCTATACGAGACGCCCAGTCATCCTTGCCTGTACAGATCAGGACTTGTTGCGCGTATGCAGGCATGAGGCCATTCAAATTGGCACTCTTGTCAATTTTCTGGCCCCATGGCATCGATGGCGTGTCCGCACAATCGCACGTCGGCTCCGGGCATTTCGGGACGGTATTCAGACATCGTCGCGTCGTCGTCACGAGCGGGATTAGATTGGATCTTCTTCTGAAGGCGGCGCGCCCCCACGCTCCTCTGGCTAACGGTCGCAAAGACATTGAGATATCAGGACAGGATCATGACCTGTTCGAGAGAGAATAGATTCAATAAAAGCCATGTCAGCTTTGAGTCCTCCAGGTTTCCTTCGCCTCTATTTTTTCTAGTACTGCCGCGTGTGTGGTTCGTTCATTACGTCTTTTTCTCCCCGGTTTCCCGGCTGTACTGTATCTTAGCTCCGAGCGGTCGGAATTACGAAATAAGCCCCGTTCACGCTCGCACGCGCCAGTATTAGTAATCACTGTCCTTGGTTTGGTTGGGTGCCTCAGAACGCATCCTTTTTGCACTGGAAAATCCGTGTAGTGCTGTGCAATGTGATCTGAAAAAGTCCGCATGCACTGTATATACCGAAATCCACTCCAATATGTCCGATCAGGTACTGATAGATATCACGTCATATATATTGATTCGACATCGTGGTAGGCGTATCGGTAAGCCCTGTATCTAAGAGGACGTCGCTACCCCTTTTCCCGGCCAACGTTTGTGAATCTAAACCTACAAGCAGAACCTCTACTCTTGTGGAACACACAGAGGCTCTATTAACATCCTACATATTTATAAAAATCCAAACACATAGATACATGATAAACTTGGTCTATGAAGCTTGTCTCGGCTTGTGTAATTCAGTCACACAGTGGCACTGCAAAAATAGGGGTAAATTAGGTACCTAAGTAAACAAGTTTGCCTGTAAGGCGCGTTTCCACCTTCCCTGGATGAGTCTATCAAAGATGCTCTTTCCTTCATCGTCTTCGATACCAGCCACATTCACAAACATGTCAATGCATCTCTTAGATGGTAATAGCAGTGAATTCATCCCACATTCAAATGGTGTAGTCGGCTGCACTAGAGAAATGGTAACTCGCCGGCCTCCTAAGCCGGAGATTCTGGGTTCGAGTCCCGGGTGCAGTGACTTTATTTTTATCTATTTTTGGTTTTATTTCTTAGGCGCTCTTATTCTAATTGCTTTATAACAAATGGGATATGAGCTCCCGTAATACTTATGTCTATCGCCGGATCATATTTCTCGAGGCTGTCAGAGGGTCCGTATCTCTCACAAAGATACAACACCTCATTATAAGCTCTATGGCAAGTCAGTTATCAGTACACTTCAAGCAAGTACAGAAGGATGTTCACTGACATTTTTCTTGATATACTTCCTGGATGACCAGCTGAGTCATTCAAATAGGGGTGGATGCTATAGAGGCGGTTGCGGTCATCCCACTCTTCTACAGGCTCTGAGGGCTTGATGTGGCTTTGGTAAAGCTGCATGTAGATGGGAGAGTTAAAATAAGATGCCCATGTGCATCTCCAGGTACCGAACTCCATTTCATTGTGGGCATAAACGCACCCGGGATCAAATAAGACCGCTTCGCCTGTTTCCTTATCGATACCGACATTATGTTCCCATAAGTCGCCGTGTATTAAGGATGGAGTAATACTGCGACCTGCAGATTGTAGGACTCCCAAGAGCCTAGGTATGACAACATCAATAAGTTGCTTGCAGGCGCCGTCATACTCTGGCCAAGGCCCATTCGCCTCGTTATCGTATCTTATAACATCTCTAAGCTGATGAGTGAAGGATCTAGCCCAACTCTTTTCCCACTGCATGAGCTAGAATTAGTGACGACTTCTCTCAAAAGTATTCTAGGCGATCACTCGGAAAGTTCTCGGCTTGATAATAGAGTTGACGACCAAAAGATTTGCTTACAGTTACTGTACGTTCCATTCTGCCACACACAGTTCGAACGGGAAATCCAAACATCCCATTTGGAGATGTGGCTCGATGAAGTTCTGCTATTTTAGACATAAAGCTAGCAGGCTCCGGCCTTACAGAAAGATTCATGTCGTGGAAATCTCCTAGGAAGAAGTATACCTGCGACTTGCCGTTATGATACTCACCCCATCCAGCTGCTTTCGGCACGAGGCCAGTTACAACATCGTTGATGGTGGTCGCAGAGTGGAATTCGCCCTCGGCTAACGCACGGGCACTTTGACCTGTCGCGCACTCCGTCTTGTCAACAGGCACCTTAATATTGGGGTAGATAAATCGTGGTATTCTACCTTGAGAAAGTATGTCTTTGAACTTCCATCTGGTAATATTGCTGATACTTTAGCTGTCTTCGCCCATGCCGATATACCACTTGGTTGAGCAGAAATAATTCTGGTGCCGCATGGCATAACTGTACGTATGATTGATTCACTCGTCAGCGAAGCCAATCGGAGAATTCCTACGTTTCCCTTACCTTTTAGGACTGCCTCGTTGATCGGGAAGTTCGCTTCCGTTGCTGAAACACATTTAGTTGAATCGAAAGGCATATTTTCGTCGTTAGGTAAACGAGGGCTCATACACGACACTTGAAGGGTAGAATGGGCAGAGCTCGAGGCTTTTCAAGAAGCACACTGTGCTGTGAAACTCAGCCCCCGATGTTGGTTGGTTGGTTGCAACTCAGGTGGCGTCTACCAAAGCCTGCGCACTCACGGCGTAAGCGCTGTCAACCCCGCCCGTCCTTGATCCGTGGCATACTGGTTTGCACCCGTAGATTCTCTCGGAAGCATCATATCTTGAATTATATTTATGCATTTGGGAGCTATTAAGCAGTTTCCCCTTTTCTTGATCTGTTTTTGTATGTGCGAGGGTTTAAGACAGCTAGTAGTGCGGGTTTTATAGCTTTTTGGGAGATATGACTACGAAATGGTCAGTCATCAGTTTTGCTCCTAGGCTCTGAGCGTACCTAACTTTTTATAGTTTCGAAGACTACATGTACCATTTCGTCGCACATTACCCGATCCTCAGAGTTCCAACCCACCCTCTGACATTTCGGGTCCAATCCATGAGGATGGTGTCGACTCTAAAGCAGATGCTAATTTGTCAAGGCCCAAGGCAATTAGCAACACTGTTCAATCCCAAGAGCATCGTGAGGCTGAGGCTGGACCCCTTGGCCTAACGGTCGTATATACCCCTGAAAATGCTCGGACCGCAGATATAGTCTTCATTCATGGGCTCGGGGGAACTAGTCATTGGACATGGTCGAAAAATAGAGATCCGGAGTTATTCTGGCCGTTGAAATTTCTACCCCTTGAGCCTGACGTGGGTTCGGCTAGAATATTAACCTTCGGTTACAACGCCAATTTTCTCAGAGCAGGAAGTGTCATTACGTCAGTTCTGGACTTTGCCAAAGATCTGTTGTTCGATCTAAAATATGCAAAAGATGGCCAGAAGGATGATTTGGGTATGGGGAGCGTTAGTATCACTCAAGCCTCATAGCCTCTCATGCATCTAATTTAAATTTCAGGTTCCCCTGATTTTCGTTGCCCACAGCATGGGAGGACTCATAGTTAAAGAGGTACGCACACTCGCTCACTTCTCACTTATAGATGTTTATACTCATGATTGAAAAGGCATATATTCAAGGCCAGATCGATCCCGAGTACCAATCTATCATCAAAGCTATATCCGCAGTTATCTTTCTCGCCACGCCACACCGTGGCACACATCTTGCAGAAACGTTGAATCGGATATTACAGTCAACTATGATCACCAAATCAAAGCAGTACATATCTGAGCTTGCGAAGAATTCGCTCACATTACAGAAACTTAATGAGCAATTCCGCCACATCGCGCCTCGGCTAGACATTGTTTCCTTCTATGAAACTCGGCCTACGTTAATCGCGTTTAAAAGCATTGTGAGTAGGGTCTAGCTACTATATAGTTAACTATCTGCTTACTAATTCTTCTGTAGATGGTATTGGAGAAGGACTCCTCCATACTCGGCTATCCTGGCGAAGCCTCGAAGGCCCTAGATGCAGATCACCATGGAGTTTGCAAATACGAAAGCACCAGCGACCCCAACTATATTGCCGTGAGAAATGTTCTCATGTCACTACTTAGAAAGATTGTTTCAACAACAGATTCAAAGGAACCACCCCAGTCAAATCGAAGGGAATTACATGATCTGAAATCTCTGTTGGCCATCACGGAAGTTCCAGCCATCGATTATAGCTTTTTTCGAGACCAATGGACGCCTGGGACCTGCGAATGGGTTCTCCAGGATGAAAATTTTATCAAATGGCTCCAGACACCGGACACGATGTCTTCTCTCTTATGGTTGAATGGCAGGGCCGCATCCGGGAAGTCCGTGTTATCCTCATTCATCATTAATAATCTCGCGGAACGAGGGTTTCGCTGCCAATATTTCTTCATAAGATTTGGGGATCAAAAGAAGCAGGCTCTGAGTCCGCTGTTACGCTCTATTGCGTATCAAGTAGCCCAAACCATCCCGAGTTTTTCACAGAAACTCTTCGAACACATCGATGAAGCTATTGATTATGAGACTGCGGGTCACCGGACGATTTGGGAACGCATCTTCAAGTCCATTCTTTTTACCATGGAAGAGCGGACCCCCCTGTACTGGCTCATTGATGGCTTAGATGAGGCACATGAGCCTCGAGCAACTATGAAGCTACTCTCAGATGTCTCTCACTCCACCATACCACTCCGGATATTATTCGTAAGCCGCAAGTCCTCGGAGATTGAGTTTGCTTTTCAGAAAGTTCCGAGCGCTTTGAATCCAAGGATGACAAGTGTTGAGGGCCATCTGGAAGATCTACAGAGCTATGTTCGGCAAGAACTTAGCATGCCTGGAAGTTCTGATTTCAAAGAAGACATTGTCAAACGAGTGGTGAAAAGGTCACAGAATAATTTTCTCGTAGGTCTTGCAAGCTCTCCAAACGGGTTTACACTCTCGTCCACATGGAGACTAATTCTGTAGTGGGTTCGACATGCTGTTTCCAAGCTAAACCTGTGCCATAGTCTCGCCGATATCGAGGCTGCACTTAGAGAGCTGCCGGTTGGTATGGAAGCACTCTATGATCGAATGGCGTCGTCTATTGTTCAAAATCAGTCACCAACGAACATGTCTTTAGCATTGAACATCTTACAATATGTTACTTGTTCGTTACGTGAATTGAAGGTTACAGAGCTATTCCAAGCACTGAGTAAGGATAGGTCTGACTTCTTGGATCTTGAACGGTCGATTGTGGACATGTGTGGTGGCTTCGTGGTCATTGATAACGGCGGAAATGTCACGATGATACACCACACTGCTCACGAATACTTACTAAGCGACAACAAACATCCCTTCTACGTCGATCGCAGTAGTTCTCACAAAAGTATGTTCTTGAGCTGCATGAAGTCTCTCATGGCTACTGGCCTTCGAGTAGAGGTAAGCAGGAATCGAGAGCCTGAATTTGTTAGCTATGCTTCTAGTTGGTGGTCATCGCACCTGGCTTTGACGTCGCCCGACTGTGCACAGATCGACGAGGTCCTCAAGAAGTTTTTGACTAACCACTGGGTACTAACGTGGATCCATATCCTAGCTGTTAATAACCAACAGCGAATTCTCATCCAGGCGTCGGAAAATCTTTCAAAATATCGTCTCAAGCGACAGCGATATGACTCACAACGCAAAGAGAAAGGCAGGGATATTGTGGAACAGGAGCTTCTCGAAAGCTGGTCTACCGATTTTGTTAAATTAGTAGGGAAGTTTGGCGCGAGCCTACGACGGAATCCAGAATCGATATACAGACTCATCCCTCCTTTCTGCCCACAGAATTCTTCGATATACCGGATCTTTGGGAAACCAGAGGCGAAGAGTATCGCCGTCTCGGGCATATCTACTGATAATTGGGATGACTTACTCGCAAGGATACCACTAGGATCTAGTAGCTACGCTTCATCTATTACGGCGTGCGGTGCTCTAGTGGGTATCCTCACCCGTCTGGGGAGCGTATCCTTGTACGATGCGTCAACATTTGAAGAAGCAACGATCTCTCCAATCCAGCATGGCGAGAATGTCTACAGAATGGAGCTCAACAACACAGCTACCTTACTCGCTACCTATGGCTATAGG